TACCGCACCTACAGTAGGAAGATACCTGTTGCCTCGCTAAACACCTGGCGTTCTACAAGTGCTTGTTTGTGGCTTCTCGCATACGGCTCGGCGGTTTTCTTCTTCAGGCTTTGACATGTGATTTGCACTGGTGTAGGCTAAATAACCACCTACCAATTATAGTAAAGGAAAAAACTACAGGGTTCTATCTACAATTCCTCTCAACGTGTAGTCCTACACGTCAAAGGGTGGATGGGTAACATTCGGTAACATTAACATACAGGGTGATTGAAAAGTCTGGGTACGGTTTAATATTTTAAAATATAATGCAGATTGAGCTACAATACTTGGTACAAAGTTACAGGGCATAAAACTCTATTTTAACACATATTCAGTGATCCAATAACTCTTCAGGGGGACGGCCCACAAGGAGTCGGAAGAAAATCTTAAATGGAAGCATAGGTCAATATGCACATCAAATTAAAGGTATTTTTTAGTAGAATACAATGCCACAAACCGCACTTCAAAAGGTTGATCCTGCGCAAAATGACAGTTGTTCAAAGATTCATTTAATTTACATTGCTATTATACGCTTACTCCTCAGGGGGCACAGCCCTAGGAATTGGAAGAAAATTGTTAACGTAAGCATAGGTCGATATGTACATCGAATTAAAGGTCTTCACTAGTAGATTACGATGCCGTAAATTCAAGCTCAAAAGAATGCCTGAGTAAAAAATGACAGTCGTTCAAAGATTCAAAATGGCGGATTTAAGAAATCTTTGAACATCTGCCATTTTGTGCAGGATCAACCTTTTGAAGTACGGTTTGCAACATTGTATTCTACTAAAAAAGACCTTTAATTTGATGTGCATATTGACCTATGCTTCCATTTAAGATTTTCTTCCGACTCCTTGTGGGCCGTCCCCCTGAAGAGTTATTGGATCACTGAATATGTGTTAAAATAGAGTTTTATGTCCTGTAACTTAGTACCAAGTATTGTAGCTCAATCTGCATTATATTTTAAAATATTAAGCCGTACCCAGACTTTTCAATCACCCTGTATGTGTTTACTACTCTGAAGGTACTCTGGAGTCCGGAGTACCTTGGCTGGATAGTTCAGCTTATTCTGTGCATATCAGTATAAGAAAATGTCTCGGAGCTCTAAGGAATTTGTAAAGAACAACCAGTTCGTATTTATTTACAATGTACGTTTATGTTTAAGCAAGTGTAAACATTGGCATTGCTACATGTGCATTCAATATCTGATAACAAGATGACCAGTCCTTGGCATAGTTGTGGCGTTGAATGGCAGGAGTGGCATTGCAAGTGGCACAGGTAGGAATGCGGATAATAACACCGCTATATACACACACTGAAGACAACGAGGTCGTTTAAATGCCAACAGTAATTGATGGTTGATGATGTAGGACCAGTCATGTGTTGATGATGTAGAAAGATAGGTACAGAGCCTCAGTCTTCTATGAATAGCGTTTCTACGTATTATGTTTTAGCAAAGTTCTTTCCATAAATTACATACTCATGTTGTTCATGGATAAAAGTGGTTTGAACTAAGATTCTACCGAAAGACTAATGGTGTAAAGTAAGTAAAGCATCTCATGATATTGTTTTCTCAGCCATCCCGCACCATATTGACTACACTGGTCTACACTCTACAGCACAATAACGGAAGCTATCGATGTTGCACACAACGATCACTGCACTAAAAAAAGATTTAGTGGCGAAAGTGGCGACGAAGGCAAGGCTAATAGTTTCACATCGTTACTACAACGCCAATTAGCCTAGACCCAGGCATTGTTCAAGTCCTACATTTACAGGGAAACAGGTCAATCGGTTTCCGCAGTTCCCAAAGTAAAAGCTAACTATGGAAAAGCTGTCACTTGATGTTTTCTTCCTAAAATGGTCTTTCAGAAGTGATTGTCTATTCACTCTGCACTATTCTTTGCCCATTTGAGATTATCCCACATAAATAGATATTTACCACTAATTCTAGAAGTTTATATGTCAAACCATGATGCAAGATGGCTGAAGTGGCATCCAAGTATCTAGGTATCAATGACAGTGTCGTTGTGTATGTGTACAATGCAGTTCTGTACGTTCCTGGGTCATATAGCACAGTCTCGCTCTGGTTCTGTTGTTAGGCGAGTCTTTGTTTGGTCGATTGCGTTGCTGCCGTCGTGGGAGTGAGGTTATTTATGTTCCATTATACTTACTTTATCCCTGCTTGCCAACTTCTGCCACCATTCACTGTGTTCGTTACGTTCACCCATTTAGTTGGGTGCATATCGTTGAATAGACACAGATGCCAAAAAAGGGTTGAACAATATATGAGGTCACTGAAATCACTTATGATCGGGTTCAATATAGTATGGAAATTAACTATCGCTCAGCTCAGCGAAAAATTTGTCTTTTTCTGGATTTCTGAATATCAGGGAATTTAACGCAAAGAAAAAGATTGGCCAAAACTATACTGTGGAGTAGACTTATTGAACACTCAAATCATACCTCTAAACTCTATCAAGCAAGAGCTAGAGGAAACATTCTTGGATCTTTACCCATTGCTGCTGGTTATACGCGTAAAGGAGGTGATTGAGGGCAGGGCTTTAAGAAATATCTGGGATCTAAAATCGGGAGCTTTAATTTTCTATTACAGTAGGCCGACTGTATGTAAAATACCCTAACTGAATCTTATCTTTTATATAGCTACTATCAAGCAAACACTATTACTACATTTGAGTGAATAAACAACGATGTGATCATGCATAAAGACTGCCCACTAAACCCACCCCCTTAACTCCAAGAGCATAAGGCTAAAGAGGACCAAGTCCTAGAACATTCTCGTGCACTCAACACCGATTGACACGTTACGATCACATCAGAGATCCTTGTACACTAGGCTGGAACTATTCAGCACATATCTACATATTTAAGGCTGACCTTTTCACCATAAGGATGGACTCGACGCAGTTCCAGGTGCAGGGGTCCTCTCCTTGGTGCAAAACTCAAACTATGTTGTGCGACGTGAAAACAACGAAGGTCTTCACAGAAATGGAGGCTCGATAAGTTTGCATGCAGCAGTTTTAAGTGTAAATATCTCTTGCTTTATCGGTTTACTGTTAAAGATTTGATAGCTAGCTTTGGGTTGTACAGTGAAAAACAAAGTTCATCATAAATTGTTTAGGTAAAATAGAATTTTAACTTGAGTTCTATCGTAATTCCAAACTACAAGAACTTGTGAGTACTGTACTGCCATAGACTAACCAATGTTTTATCTATGGTACTGCATTGTGCTGACCGTCTTTTTACGTAAGAAACACAAACCGAGTGGTTTATTTATTCTCCAGACCATTTGTTGTTGTTGACAGTTCAGTGCGCCTCTGTCCACAGACCGTGTGGCCACATAAACAAACACACAACACACGTACAGCAGCAGCTACACAGCTATACAACACACAACTGATGGCTGACTTGGCTATAAACACGCTGGACCTCTGGCATACTGATCTCTTATGACAATGGCTGCCTTCATCAGAAATCCGGACACCAAGTCAGAACTATGTAAATGTATACGTGACCTAACAGTGAAACGCACCTTTATGGCAGGCAATACTAGTCTCTTTTTATGACGTTCTAAGGGTGGTTTGTTATTTTGAAATAAATTAATAATATTATAAACAGCATGCGAAAGGTATCAATATCAATAATTAATCGATTATTATTTGAATAACATCTTTGTTAAAGATCAAATGTCCTTATTATTTGGAAAAACTTAATATTTGGGGAAACACATCACCTATATTCTAATACAAGCCATATCTGTTTGTCTGTATGTCTTATTCTAATTCGAGCTGTGTCTGTTTGTCTGTCCGTCTGTTTGTCTGTCCGCCTGTCTGTCTGTCTGTTTGCCTGTCTGTTTGCCTGTCTGTCTGTTATATATATCTGGAAATCCAGGGAGGGATTTTGATTAAATTTTGGAATTAGGGACTTATGGGCCTAAAAACGTGATTGACGACAGCCACTACCTTAGGAAAATTCGTATTTTATTACACAACTCATTTGGAAATCTAACGTTGGTCTTATGGGTTGCCAAGTGTCGATGTTGGTTCAATAAAATAACAAGGAAATGTAAAAAAAAGAGTTCACATGTGTTTACAACAAGCCAATTAACAAATTACAAAATACAGTACAAAAAGGGAATAACATGAGTAGTAACTATTGAGCAAAGATTACACTGAAGATTACTCGATATAGGGGAAAATAGTTTCGATCAAATAATGATTACTTTGCTTTGCCCTATCCCACCAAAAATTAATCCCCGAAGTACTGAGGCATTCCAAGTAAACTAATTACATCTGGGGGTTTTAATTTGCATTAAAATATTACCGTACCGTATACTAAATCCCAATGAAAAAAACAGACAGAATCTCAGTTTCTTTCGAAGTAGTAGGAATAAAGAGAGACATCGTTGTTAAAAGAAATTTTGAAACTAATATGATTTTGTTTGTATCATATTTTTATTTGCTGTCTTTAGTGAACGTAAAAGTCAAACAACGGGTTTCAAAGACAAGAGGGGAGAAACATTCTATGTAGCATTGTTTTAACGATTAAACCCAATTAACCACAACCGAGCAAGACTCGGTCCCTCGGTACTACTATTCTAATACAATAAATAACACTAACAACAGTTGTATTTTTGTACAGAATATGACAGTGCTGTGATTATTCTATGTGCGTCTGAGGGCTCTGGATTGAGTGTTTATTGATTGGAGGGTTTATATTTGTAGATCTTGTTACTACCAATGGGTAAAACTTAATTCTACACAGATAATTGCATGCAAATAATACATTCAAAGTCTACTAACTACAACACCCGATCATTCCAAGACTGTATTATCATCAGGTAGGGAATGATAAACTAAACTTACGACACGTTGCTCGATACTGAGAACAGGGCACATTAATCTTTGGCTGATAAGACGAAAAAGGAGAGCACAATGACTAACCTGGACAGCGCTGTTGAGAAAGCAGTTGTTCTGTCCTGGACCATTGAGTAACCCCTTGGTGAAAGCCACCGAGTCCCGTGATGGAGACATGTTGAAGTTTACAGTCTACCGCTCCATCTCGTCCCCTGGAACACACGAGGCACACTTATTGTACAGTACACGTATATGTAAACCACCCTAACTGAGGCTTACAGTCTACCGCTCCATCTCGTCCCCTGGAACACACGAGGCACACTTATTGTACACGTCTATGTAAACCACCCTTAACTGAGGCTTACAGTCTACCGCTCCATCTCGTCCCCTGCAACACACGAGGCACACTTATTGTACAGTACACGTATATGTAAACCACCCTAACTGAGGCTTACAGTCTACCGCTCCATCTCGTCCCCTGGAACACACGAGGCACACTTATTGTACACGTCTATGTAAACCACCCTTAACTGAGGCTTACAGTCTACCGCTCCATCTCGTCCCCTGGAACACACGAGGCACACTTATTGTACAGTACACGTATATGTAAACCACCCTAACTGAGGCTTACAGTCTACCGCTCCATCTCGTCCCCTGGAACACACGAGGCACACTTATTGTACAGTACACGTCTATGTAAACCACCCTTAACTGAGGCTTACAGTCTACCGCTCCATCTCGTCCCCTGCAACACACGAGGCACACTTATTGTACAGTACACCTATATGTAAACCACCCTAACTGAGGCTTACAGTCTACCGCTCCATCTCGTCCCCTGGAACACACGAGGCACACTTATTGTACAGTACACGTATATGTAAACCACCCTAACTGAGGCTTACAGTCTACCGCTCCATCTCGTCCCCTGGAACACACGAGGCACACTTATTGTACACGTCTATGTAAACCACCCTTAACTGAGGCTTACAGTCTACCGCTCCATCTCGTCCCCTGCAACACACGAGGCACACTTATTGTACACGTATATGTAAACCACCCTTAACTGAGGCTTACAGTCTACAGCTCCATCTCGTCCCCTGCAACACACGAGGCACACTTATTGTACACGTCTATGTAAACCACCCTAACTGAGGCTTACAGTCTACCGCTCTATCTCGTCCCCTGCAACACACGAGACACACTTATTGTACACGTATATGTAAACCACCCTAACTGAGGCTTACAGTCTACAGCTCTATCTCGTCCCCTGCAACACACGAGACACACTTATTGTACACGTATATGTAAACCACCCTAACTGAGGCTTACAGTCTACCGCTCCATCTCGTCCCCTGCAACACACGAGGCACACTTATTGTACACGTATATGTAAACCGCCCTAACTGACTGAGGCTTACAGTCTACCGCTCTATCTCGTCCCCTGCAACACACGAGACACACTTATTGTACACGTCTATGTAAACCACCCTAACTGAGGCTTACAGTCTACCGCTCTATCTCGTCCCCTGCAACACACGAGACACACTTATTGTACACGTATATGTAAACCGCCCTAACTGAGGCTTACAGTCTACCGCTCTATCTCGTCCCCTGCAACACACGAGACACACTTATTGTACACGTATATGTAAACCACCCTAACTGAGGCTTACAGTCTACCGCTCTATCTCGTCCCCTGCAACACACGAGACACACTTATTGTACACGTATATGTAAACCACCCTAACTGAGGCTTACAGTCTACCGCTCCATCTCGTCCCCTGCAACACACGAGGCACACTTATTGTACAGTACACGTATATGTAAACCACCCTAACTGAGGCTTACAGTCTACCGCTCCATCTCGTCCCCTGGAACACACGAGGCACACTTATTGTACAGTACACGTATATGTAAACCACCCTAACTGAGGCTTACAGTCTACCGCTCCATCTCGTCCCCTGGAACACACGAGGCACACTTATTGTACACGTCTATGTAAACCACCCTTAACTGAGGCTTACAGTCTACCGCTCCATCTCGTCCCCTGCAACACACGAGGCACACTTATTGTACACGTATATGTAAACCACCCTTAACTGAGGCTTACAGTCTACAGCTCCATCTCGTCCCCTGCAACACACGAGGCACACTTATTGTACACGTCTATGTAAACCACCCTAACTGAGGCTTACAGTCTACCGCTCTATCTCGTCCCCTGCAACACACGAGACACACTTATTGTACACGTATATGTAAACCACCCTAACTGAGGCTTACAGTCTACAGCTCTATCTCGTCCCCTGCAACACACGAGACACACTTATTGTACACGTATATGTAAACCACCCTAACTGAGGCTTACAGTCTACCGCTCCATCTCGTCCCCTGCAACACACGAGGCACACTTATTGTACACGTATATGTAAACCGCCCTAACTGACTGAGGCTTACAGTCTACCGCTCTATCTCGTCCCCTGCAACACACGAGACACACTTATTGTACACGTCTATGTAAACCACCCTAACTGAGGCTTACAGTCTACCGCTCTATCTCGTCCCCTGCAACACACGAGACACACTTATTGTACACGTATATGTAAACCGCCCTAACTGAGGCTTACAGTCTACCGCTCTATCTCGTCCCCTGCAACACACGAGACACACTTATTGTACACGTATATGTAAACCACCCTAACTGAGGCTTACAGTCTACCGCTCTATCTCGTCCCCTGCAACACACGAGACACACTTATTGTACACGTATATGTAAACCACCCTAACTGAGGCTTACAGTCTACCGCTCCATCTCGTCCCCTGCAACACACGAGGCACACTTATTGTACACGTATATGTAAACCACCCTAACTGAGGCTTACAGTCTACAGCTCTATCTCGTCCCCTGCAACACACGAGACACACTTATTGTGCACGTCTATGTAAACCACCCTAACTGAGGCTTACAGTCTACCGCTCTATCTCGTCCCCTGCAACACACGAGGCACACTTATTGTACACGTATATGTAAACCACCCTAACTGAGGCTTACAGTCTACCGCTCTATCTCGTCCCCTGCAACACACGAGACACACTTATTGTACACGTATATGTAAACCACCCTAACTGAGGCTTACAGTCTACCGCTCCATCTCGTCCCCTGCAACACACGAGGCACACTTATTGTACACGTATATGTAAACCAGCCTCCCGCTGCTTGCTGAGATCAAACCGAGGCTTAAACCATTTTAATGATGCGCGTCATCATATGTTAAGAGTTACTCATTATGTAAGGAACGGCGTCCTACGCCCTACAGTTTTGTGATGCCACCCACTTCTGACAGAATCAGCACGAAGCAACATCATTGCCACACTCTAAAAGTTTAATCCCTGTCCAACAAAAACACAAACGCTTTCCGTCAGACAATCCCGTTGAAACTAAAAGTGGCAACAAAAAGTGAAGAGAGGCTGTGGTTAGGACACATCAGGTCCATTAATCGGTAGACGCTGTAGATGTTGAGCGTGACCAGTGGCTGTTGTTGAGAGTGGAGAGTGATTAGCAGCTCCTTGGCCTTAGTCTGACCTGCGCCTCCTACAAACAGCTGATTGGTATATAACAACTGGTCCACCGTATGGTCCATTAGACCGGTATGTCTGATAATTGCTATCTGGAGCAGCAGCAGCAGCGGTGAGGAATGTGTAAGTAGCCCATCACGTTGGCCCAAGACGTTGTCTGATCAGTACATCACTGTACCAAACAGTGGAGTAGCACAATACACGATCTCTCTCAAAGAAAATAAAATATATTACTCTATATCACAGGTATAATCTTGTTGGATTTCGTCATAACATTAACTCATGATGTGAAAAGTTTGACAAAATTCTAATGAAACTACCACTTGTGTGTTACAATAGTCCAGTCAATAAAGGGATTGTAGAGGACATGGAGAGGGGGAAATTTTTTTTCTGCGGGAATGTGTTCGGGGTAGTTAGAAGATAAAAATACAAAAAGTCCCCGCCCCTGGCCCTGCTGCTTCAGCGGGGGGAGGGGGGGAAAGACCCCATTTTTTAGTTTTTTTACTTCTACACTGAAAACCGTGCATCGTACGGAAAAAATGTAAATTACAAAAAGAAAGATGATGAAATTTCCTACAAGAATGGTTATATTCATTTCTTACGTATATGCATTAGTTTAAAAGATATTCTCAAAATAATATAAAAATTCTTCAATAAATTGATTTTTCACGCGTTTTTTGTCAAATAAGTTTATATAATCCATTAGCCTGTTGTTGTTTCACATCAATCAGGATAGAAAACAGGTTTTTGAACACTAACCTATATAATATAATATATCAATCGTATATATTGTGTTAAAAATTGTTTATATAAATTTAAATAAGTTATATATATTTGTCATGGAAACAAGTATTTTTTGCATAATTATTACATTAAAAATTAAACAGATTATGTTTGTAGCTATATTTTTCCAGGTTTATTTATATGAACTACCAAAACCAAGACTTAATACTATTGTTCATGGTCTCTCCATAATCCAATTCTTGTTCATCAGACTCAATATCTATACTGTTAATACTGTTCTATGAAATGGCAACCATACAAAGTAGGTATTTTAAAACAAGTGTGAATGGAGATGAGTGTAGGATGAGTGGCGCGATCTTGTAGTCTTGTTAGTGACTAAGACCGACTTATTCCTTAGACACAGCTGTTAATTAATAGCCCATACAGCTAATGGCAACTAAGGGACCTACAGTTTATAGTGGAATCCGAACCACATTTTTGCCTTGGCAATTACGAATTGGTCTAATTATCACAAAAGTACTGCGGATAGTCGTAGTACTCACCCGTGCGGACGTTAATCAACACCAGGGAGTATTGCATCCACCTTGCATGCCTATAAATATCCACAATTCGTATAAAAGGCGGGACATAACCGTATCTATATCATTATTATAGATATTTTGAGGTTAATGTAAATAATATTTATGCTTGGAACATAATAAACTCTTTAATTATATATTACCCTCATACATGAGCCCAAAACGTTTAATTTGAGACATAAATAAGGTCTTTCGGACAATTACTTCAAAAGATACGGCATGAAACCTAAATTCCAAGATGGCGGCAGTTTTTTCAAAATGGCGGCCGTTCCCCAACTGGGATTTCTTGGGACTTTGTGTGGGCCACTCAGGACATT